GTGTGTGTGTGTGTGTGTGTGTGTGTGTGTGTGTGTGTGTTGCTGGGCAGGGCTGTCCCAGAACCGTGGCGTAAACACGGTTACATAATCCAGTTTGCCGTCACACCTCTTTGTAAAACGGCTCTGGAGATTACTGATGTCTTTCCTTTTTCTTTTCCTAGAAGTTTTTATGAAAATCATCACAAGAAAAAAACATCCACATGTTTTCAATTTTGTCACACTTCAGTCAGATTTATGGGGCAAATAATTGGGAAACACAAGGAAGAGCGCAGAGAAAAGGGACACGTTAAATTAAAAACACTTCTCGTCTGCCAGATTCTGTTGTTTTGAAGATGGAAGAAAACCTAAACTAAAAAAAAACGTGAGGTTTTGAAAAAGTGACAGAGTAAAAGTGAAACTGGACGAGGTGCGTGTCTGTGTGTCGCCCCCTGGTGGTGAAAAGATGGAAGTTCACCTCATAAGTTTCAAAAAATCTGAAATGTGGCTCAAAATGACACCAAAAACAAATAAAATCAGGTTTTTTTGCAGTTTCTTCCTCCAGCAGAACAAAACTGACCAGAATACAGTTAAATTATTTATTTTTTATTATTTATTTAACCAGCAAATCCCATTGAGACCACAGATGTTTTGCATGGGCAGCCTGCACCTGAAGAACCTATTGTTCATATTTTTATGCTCTCTTGTGAAAAAAGAAGCTGTTTTCTGGTTTTATTTGTGTTTTATCACATTAGAAACCCCCTGCTGTGACCTCTGACATTGTTTCAACCTTTAACTGTCTCAGGTCTGGGATGGACTTGGAGCCTGTGGATCCCGATACGTTAGACCTGAAGAGGCGGCGGATCCACATGTGTGACTATGAAGGCTGTAAAAAGGTTTACACCAAGAGCTCCCACCTCAAAGCCCACCGGAGGATCCACACAGGTGAGGRGTGGGCGCAGACTGCACTGGTCCTTAGAGAATTCCAGGTTTAACCCTTTAAACCCTGGTGTGTGCAGGAGAGAAGCCGTACCACTGTACCTGGGAGGGCTGCACCTGGCGCTTCGCCCGCTCCGACGAGCTCACCCGACACTTTCGCAAGCACACGGGGATCAAGCCGTTCCGCTGCACCGAGTGCGACCGCTCCTTCTCCCGATCCGACCACCTCTCCCTGCATCGCCGTCGCCACGTCATGATGTGAACTCCGCCCCCACAGCCGACCTTTCACCCCCCTCAAACTCCGCCCACCGTGTACCGGAGCCTCAGCTACGTCCCTCACATCTTATCTTCATTATTTACTCCTGCTGGATTTTAAAGCCACTCCGCAGACGAAGCGAGGACCCTTCCTGGAGCCGTCTCTGTGCGTTTGTGCTCATGCATGGTGGAAGTAATAATCAGCATCATTGTTCAAACCCAAACCAGCCCTTTCTCTACAATCCTGGACTGAGGTTTTAGACCTCAGAGTCGTCTTTTCTGAACAGAGGACGGACTGAAAGACATTCAGCAGCAGGGATGTTCATAAATCCATCCATCCTTCGATTGAGAGGAGGAGCAGAAGCAGGGCGGACATGTTTGATTTCAAACGTTTTTATGACTYGGACGTCACTTCAGCTGCTCGTCTCTCACATTTGTTAATTATGTTCACAGATTATCAGAAACGAGGGCGACGCTCACAGAAACATCCTGAAATTCTCCCACCGAAAGATTTTTACACTGAATTTGAATCTAACTTTATTTAAAGGCTCAAAAATTTGAATAAATGATTCTCTACATCAAGACAGAACAACCAGGCTGCTGATAGGGTTTTACTCACATGTCAGAGCAGCTCTGATGAAGTCAAACCCCTCCTTTCAACAGGAAGAAAAATGATTTATAGTAAGGAAACTGAATGCTAACTGATTTTAGTTTTACTTTTGAGTGTCTGTACTGTGTGTTTATGTTGAATGGGGGGTTTAACTTCACTTCAGCCCTTGCTCTGATAGCAATGGAAGACAACTATAAAAGTCTTGATGCAGTTTATCTGACTTGTCGGATCAGTGAAGTCCAACCCCTCCTCTTCAACATTAAACATCCGCAGGGGTTTTAGCTAAAAACAACCTGAGAAATCAAACTAAACTGCTTGTATTTCATTTATAAAATGTTCTTTTGGCTAATTTCAAAGGGCTCCGTGGACACAGACGTGTCTGTTTTTATAAAATATAAACCGTTCTGTTAGCGCTGCAGCTAAAAACAGGAAGTGGTGCTTGCAGGTGTTTGGCTGCTTTGTAGTGCTTTGGAAACACGTCTGGCTAAAATGTTGAGCAAATAGTGCACATGCAACGTGCACATGCAACGTGCACATCAGTTCATCTGCAGCAGCTGAAGTGACGTCCAGTAACCCCCTCCCCCTCCCTCTGGTACATGAAGCTACAAGACTGTGAACTTTCTAAAGACTAATTAGTTTTCAGAGTATCAGTCACACTGTTGTGTTCTCCCCCCCCCCCTCGTGCACACACACCTTCCTGATCCTTCTTTAATAACAGTATTTGCTTTGTATGCTTTGTTGTTGGTGTTTTTTGGAAAAAAAAAAGAAAAAGGAGAAAGGCCTTCAGTGCACAGACCCCACCCCACCCCCACCTCCTCGCCAGGTTTGCCGGCATCTTTCTTCTTTTGTAAAAAGAAAAAGTTTGAAGAACTTTTAATCCGAGGCTCTGAAAACAAACACACACACAAAAAGAGGAGCAACACAAATAGTTTGAGAGGTCAAACTTTCATACAGCAGGGAAAACTGGGAGCTTATCAGTGTGTGTGTGTGTGTGTGTGTGTGTGTGTGTGTGTGTGTGTG